TAGCTAAATATTTAGCTAGCTCAGAGCTAACTAAATATTTTTGCTAGATCAATGCTAAATATTTACTTTGGAGCTAAAGAGTTGGCTTGCTAACTAAATATTCAGCCTCAAGCTAAGTCTTTAAGCTTAAAGTGTAAATTGGAGTTCACCAGTTATTTGTTGGAAAGCATTTTATCATCAAGAGGTCAATACTGTGACAGATTAAACCAGAGCTTGAGATTTTTAAAATAAGATTTATGAAGTGTTTTATTTTTACCTTTTAAGATTAAAAGAGGGAGAATTTTCAGTGCGTTAAATCTGTGGTATATGGTAAGAACATTTTAAAGCACTATTGCTTCAGTCTTTGAAGCATAAATCTTTACCTCAACCTTGAATGTTCCTTTGAAGCCCTGAATAAAAACACAGAGGAACCTTACCTGGTACTCTGAGTTCAGAGCGCTGGTGTCTGCTGCAGCTTCCTGTAACTGCGCATGTGCAAGCGCTCGGGACGAGGTGTGTAGCAGCTGAAGCCACACCTCTTTGGGCGTGGTCACGGAACAAACTGACTCCGCCCCCAGATTGCTCACATCCAATAGCAGCGACAGGTTGGAGCCCCGCCTGTTGAAAATAAAATAATTGTTTTGAAAAGATTTTAAAAATAAACATTTATATGATTCTTTTACATTCTGCAGATGTTTGAGGGGGGAAATGTTTTTTTTAGAAACTGCTTCATTCATGCTAAAGATTTGATGCAAAGATTTCATTAGCAGCAACTTTCTACTAATTGAGATTAGTTTTGAAATGCAGCAGAAAATCTTAGAAATAAACTGGAAGTTAGAGGATTAAATGATTCTCCTGCCATTCTGGACAAAACCTCCTTTTCTTGGCTCAAGATTTTAACCATGAAAGAGCAGCAACAAAGTAACAAAGTTAATGTGTTTAAAAACTCAACTGATTTCTAGTCAAGTGAATTTCACCCAAATTTAAGTAAACTTAATATAAACTGAACACAAGTCAATTCCAGTTCAGTCCTAATTAAATAAATTCAAATTAATTTCCAGTTTAATCAACTAAACATAAATGTCTCCATAATGTCACATATAGTTTTAAATTCACATTTGATTTCTACTAACTCAATTTCAATCAAATCCAATTTAATTATGTACAGAAAAGCTCTAATTTATTTCTATTTCCTTTTCTGTTCTGGGTTTCAGCCCAATTCAAATCAGATTGTATTTAAACTCCACATCTACTACCCGCTCCTATTCAAGTTCAATTGAGTTACAACCATGGAATCAAAGTGATTATGGAGTGTAAATATATTTAGTGTGCATTCAGTTGTGCGTTAATTGTCTAGCTGAGGAAGCCAAATCATTGTCATTGATTGTGTGGTCATGGTTCCTGGAGGCCCCTCACCGTTCCTGGAGGCGGACTGAGGCTTTCCGAGGGGGCGTGGTCAGTGGCGGGGGCGTCACTGGTTCCTCGGCAGGAACGGAGCTGAATGATGAGCTCATCATGAGTGTTTTCTGTTGAAGACGATTTATTTTCTGAGCCGCACTCAGCTCCTCACCTCAACACCATGCTGCAGACAAACAGAGACAGCATCACTGCATTCTAATCAAAAACCACATATCAACAAAATAAGCAACATTTTCCATTGAAAAACCTTTTTACTGCTAAATTATGAGATAAACAGGAGTAAACTCAACAAGAAGGATATTTATTGCTTTTAATCTGTTATTTAGTTTCTCTGATCATTCATGGAGCTTCTTTACAAATGTAGATTGTTGACGCTGACATTAGCATTAGCTGCTACATATTTAGCATTGAGATGCTATTTTAGGCTAACATAGCTTCACTGACATGCTAACTCCTTTTAACACAACTTGAACACAACAATAGTCGTTTTCAGGGCCAATCAGATAATTTAAAAGCGGAAATTAACCTCAGTGAGCCCAGAGAAGCAGCTTCATCGCTGCTGTTAGCGAATGTAGCTTGTGCAACAGATTTATGGATGTACCAGAAACGTGCGAATACAAAGTATCCATCTGGAACTTTTAGGTTAAAATTTTTATTACATTGAAATCTATGGAATGTATTAATAAATTAATGCTTTAAAGTCAGTTTAAAATAAAATTTCCTCTGTCCATTTCTTTGAACACTCTACCTTTAGCTCGAGACATGAGACAGACTGTCTGGCTGAGCTACTTTTTAGATGTTTTTTATTATTACATTTTATTTTCAGTATTCCTTTTGTTTGTGCAGTTCATTTCTCAGTCTGGTTTTATTTTATATATTTCAGTCAATTTGGGGGTCTGAAACAAGTTGCAGTAAAACAAACTTGTTTTTAGTTGTGGCCTTTTATCACATTTGTGTGGAATTTAATTTGATTTTACAATAAACAACTGTAATGTGGTTTTATTTTACAGAAAGGAAATATTGCGTTTTTATCCTGTAATGCTGTAAATAATTAGTTTAGTACAATTTATTCGCACTGTGTTTCTACGGCTGGAAGAGCATCACCAGCTATTCATTAGCAACAGAAAAACGACAATCAGGCTGCAAAACCACCAGGACAAGTAACTAAACCCAAAATACAATTTACCAGAAGTTCATCCAAAGTGTTGTACAAAACAAGACAAACAAGACAAAGGAAAGAAATCAAGCTATAAAACAACTATCAAAAACCTGCACATTAAAAATACATAATGCAGAATAAAGACTATAAAAACAGCATATCATCTTACTCTGAAAAAAGATTTAAAGAGACTCAGAAGCAGGAAGCAAAGATGCCTGTCTGAAATTTAAAGGCCACAACAGAAAAACTTCAGTCTCCTCTCGGTTTCCATCTCGGTTTTGATCAACTAAAAAGTATCCGGCCTCCTGATCTGAGGGCCCACAAGGGAAGATACGGCTGCAGCAAGTCAGAAAGGTGGAGCTGTGTTCAGTGGAAAACAGCCACTGAATTTTTATTTAATATTTATTCAAGAAATTCTTTTCATCGAAGGCCAAACCAAACCAAGCAAAACATGGAGGAAACGTGAAGCACCCAGAGGAGAAAAAACAGTCTAAAGCCTGAAGCCGTTTAATGAATCCTCTGCATTCAACACAGTTCTGACCGCTGGATGCTTCGGCAACTGCCTGATAAGAATGTTTCCCCCTGTGGTTCTATTCTGACTGCTGGATGCTTGGAAACCGGATCGGTTACACCTTCACCTTCGCATCAGACTGTCTTTCTGGGTTCTTCGCTTGGCATTGAGCAGCTTTTCACAATCAAGTGTGTAAAGTTTGCATTAGTTCAACAGAATAAAAAGCATTTCAAATGTGAACATTTAAACTGCAGGTTAGCAGAATGTAGCAGAATGAGGCAGAATGAGACAGAATGAGGCACAATGGGGCAGAATGAGACAGAATGAGGCAGAATGAGGCACAATGGGGCAGAATGAGACAGAATGAGACATAATGAGACAGAATGAGGCAGAATGAGACAGAATGAGGCAGAATGAGGCACAATGGGGCAGAATGAAACAGAATGAGACATAATGAGGCAGAATGAGGCAGAAGGAGACAGAATGAGGCACAATGGGGCAGAATGAGGCACAGTGGGGCAGAATGAGGCAGAATGAAACAGAATGAGACAGAATGAGGCAGAATGAGGCACAATGGGGCAGAATGGGGCACAATGGGGCAGAATGAGACAGAATGAGACAGAATGCGGTAGAATGAGGCAGAATGCGGTAGAATGAGGCACAATGGGGCAGAATGAGGCAGAATGCGGCAGAGGACAACATGGAGGACAACACATCCAGCAGCGTTCCTGTTGCCTTCAAAAATTCCCAAAACTTTAGGAAACGATGCAAACCTGTTACTAAAGGTTAAAACCAGCATGAAACAGCTGAACTTTGACCTTGTTAATGGCAGAGAGCTGACGAAGCTACTCATTTCAAATAAATGCAAGGTGTTATCTTCTGTTTCTTTACGTTTTATTTCATTAGTCACTTATGTTTCAGGTTATTTAAGTATTTCAACAAAGTTTCTCATATTTTATTCAGAGAATATAAAACATATATTTGCATTTTATCTTCAAATGAATGCAAATATAACGTTAGACTCCCTGCGCCTTAATAAGCCGTTATTAACATGAACAAAAAAGAGATTTGACTAGGACACCAAGCAGAAAAGCAACATTTACATGTTCAGTTTGTTAGTTTGGCATTAAGCAGTTTTCAAAAAATGTCCACCAGGTTCTGACTGGTCATGTGGGTTCCGATGGGCAACAGCAGATCTTAGAAATGGATTCAAGTATTATTCATCTATAGTTGAATACTTGAACGAGTGAATGCAAATCAAAAGTTTCCCCCTCCAAACAGCTGAATGCCCAAACTCCACACATATTGAGCTTTTAGCTTTTTTTCTACGTTAAACCTGACCACACTCACCATTCTGATCTCCGCAGTTCTTCTTTTCTTGCTTCTCAGATTCACTTTAAGTTAACTTTAAACGTCTGACGTGTTTTTGTCATGAATGAACTTCCTGACGAGACGAGGCTCATAATCCAGAGTCCTCTGACAGAAACCGAATCGGCTCAACGTCGATGTCTGATAAACCAGCCACTGCTGCGATGAGGAGGCATCTCTCTCTATGATGAAGCAGAAACTGCTGGAACGGACCTCTGTGTGTGTGTGTGTGTGTGTTAGATATCTGTGTGTTTCCACATCACTACAGATCTGAAACGTTTCAGTTTGTCTCTGTCGGAAGAGCGTTTCCTCAGAGCAGGAAGTCAGCACGCCCACGCTTACTCAACGCGCAGAACACAAACACCACAGACGATACGGCCGAACATCGAGTCCAAACGGACTCCTCTGGACGCTGAAGGCCAACAACTGAACATCTGATAAAAAAATTAATAAATAATGAAGGGTCACCAATGTTTTCTGCTGGGGTGCACAAACTTCCTCTGAGTTGTTCAGTTATTCTGCAGACGACGGTTCTGAGCTGATTTTTAGCTTCTCTTTAAAAACAATCAGAAGGTTTGTTGTTGGTTTATTGATGGGCTGGATTTCTTCAGCTTCAGTTTGAAGGATTTGGCGAGCAGACAGTTTTCAAACGTCATCAGGCTGCTTTGACTCTTGGAGCCCACATCACTACACTCCCACCTCTGTGCATTTGCTGTGGTAGGCCAGGATGAGTCTGACTTGGTGTGATTTTTACGCTGTGGTGGTGAATGATGAGGGGAGATTGACCTCATTTCAGACCTTCTGATCTTGACTCAATATTTTTGCTCTTGTCACAGTTCAGCATTTTTGGTTAGTTTGGCCACGGCTCTCTTCTCAGTTCAATAATAACAGAAAAATCCCAAGAACTCTGCAACTGAGGCCCTTAAAGCTGCAGCATGTGGCTCCTATAAAATATATGTTTACATATTTGTTGAAACTGCCAACATGTTGAGACAATTTATGACAGATAATCTGTGAAAAAAAATCAGCCTTCTCTGCCTTCTCCCAGTGATAACTAGAAAGAACCAATGAAAGTCAGGAAACGAGTCTTAGCGTTGTCAAGCACAGTCCTTGTGGCGCTGCTCATCCTTGCTCCCGTTGCTGTCTGCTACGATGCAGCTAGCCTATTATGAATGCTAAGGCTAGTTCGCATAGCCACCGAATATGGCTGATGAAGAGTTTTTCTGTAACAGTAAGTTGTTAACAGCGAGTACATGAGGGTGATTGACAGCGCTAAGATCCACCTCGTCGTTCTGATTGGTTGATTTTGGTTAATTTCTTCAGACAGTAATAGTAGCTCAGGGAGGAGGAGGCAGAAATTGATCTTTTCACAGATTATCTGTCTCATAATTTGTCACAACATGGTGACAGTTTTAACAAATATGTCAAACAATGTTATTTTTTAATGAAAGTTTCAAACTGCGGCTTTAAAGTGTGATTGGTGTCAAACATCTTGTTGGTAAACTAAAGCAGAATAAAAAGTCAAGTCTGTAGGACCTGCCATGAAGAAAAGGTGAAACCCTGCAGGAAAACCTTTCAGCTGCTGTGGAGCAAAAGAAGAGCAAAGGTCACAGCATGGAGGAGGCAGAGCTTAGTTCGCAGGAACAGTCAAAGTCTCAGTCCTGTGGTGAAGCTGCGGAAAAAACAGATCACAGAACCAAACAAATAAATGTGGTTTCTTAAACAGCCATGGTTTGATGTGGGTTGGGTTGAAGAGGGGTCAGAAAGATGAGGGTTTAATTCCAGCTTCTCCACCTAAATCAGTGTCCTTAAGCAAAGTACTGAACCCCAAATTATGAACAGACCAGTGTATGAGCATGCAAATAATCAGAAATGTTGTAGGGAGAGGGGCGGAGCTTATCATGCCAGGGGTTCATTCTGGACACCCACATCAACATCCACACACACACACACACATGCACACACACACACACACACATCAACATACACACACACACACACACACACACACAGATCAACATCCACCCACACACACACACACATGCACACACACACACACATCAACATGCACACACACACACACACACACACACACACACACACACACACACACACACACATACACACACACACACACACACAAACA